AAAAGAAACCTGAAGAGTGTTTCATCTTTCTAACTTGCCATTCCAGGGGAGGCACCTTGAGCTTTTCGGGGATTATTTTGGGGTGATTTCACCCTCAGATCACCGCCATCCTTCCCAGCCCCTTGCACTCATCCAGAAGCGGCTCCTGGAATCCAGTATCGGCACCACTGGCATCCCGCAAGCAGGGAACTGTCCCGCGGAAGTGGATCCGTCAGGGCTGGAGCCTCCATGGGTTTTTCCAGGGCTGATCCCCGGCAGACCGTGTGCTCCGACGGCCGCGTCCCGCACGGCACCGCGCAGACCCGGCGTTCCCAGGGCGGCTGCAGCTCCAGGGGCGGCACAAGGAGCCTTCCCGGGCCCAAGTCCAGCTGAAACCTCCTCCTTTGGTCCAGGGCCTCATTGCAAACGAGGGCAACGTCTCTGGGGCTGCGCAGGCTCCATCCTCACGGAGGAAATCCAGGGAAGCAGCCACATGGCAATGGCCTTCCTCCGCCTCGCTCCCCCGGAACGTTATCCTGCCCGGAACGAGCACTTTGCCCGGAGCGGGACGCCAGCCCGTGCCAGAGTCCAGGGCTCCCACTGGGTTCTCCGGGCACTGCGCGCGACGGGGGAAAGTTCAATGGGAAGGAATTCCCGGAAGGGCTGGGAAGGTGCCCGGGATCGCTGGTTTAGCAGGGCGGTGCGGGAGGTCACCGAGGTCCCCGCGTCGCTGTGAGGGACAAGGGACACTAAACAAACGCCCATGAGGACAGCGCGGCTCCGCCACCGGAGCAGCAAGGTCACCGTGACCGCCCGGGTGACCCGCTCCCGTCGCAGTGCTGGGATGGGAGACCATGAAACCAGAAACAGCCTGGTGCAACCTTTGGAATTGCCGCTGCGATCCTGTGGATGGGAACATCCAGATCTGTATCCCTGCAAACAGCTGGGAGCATCCAGCTCTGCATCCCTGTGCAGCAGGGGGTGCGGATTCCGGGAACGCACGCTCAATCTCGGCTGTGGTGTCACGGGGTTTATTTCTATTGCACAGGAAACCAAGGACTTCCAGGGGTCGGTTAGCAAAAAATGAGGAATTGAGTGAACCAAGGAACGCAGCGCCCTGCTGTGCAGCCCAACGCGGGAGCGAGTGCGAGCGGTGGCAGGAGGCGGCCGCCCGGTCCCCACGCAGCGTCCCCAGCGCCGAGGTGGCTCCTTCTCTCCCATCACCACCTGCACTATTACGGGCTGGGATAAACAGGCCTGTGCGGCACTCGTTGCATTTGGGTTTTTGCTTTTTTCCATTTGGAAAGAGGAAGTTCGCTTGGGCAGAGTGGCTTCCCCATTTCAAATGTCAAGTTCCCTAATCTATTATTTTTCATCCTTTCACTCCAGACATGATGACTTTGCACATTGCTAAGTTGGTTATGTCCCAAAACAGCGGGTACGAGACAAGGACCCGCGACACCCCATCGATCAATCACACCCGTCTGGTACACCCGGCACAGCTGGGAATATCCGGTTCTGCATCCCTGCACATAGCTGGGAATGTTCAGCTCTGCATCCTCGGACACATCTGGGAATGTCCAGTTCTGCATCCCTGCATAAAGCTGGGAATGTCCAACTCTGTGTCCCTGCACAGCTGGGAACATCCAGTTTTGCATCCCTGCACAGATGGGAACATGTGGCTCTGCATCCCTGCACATAGCTGGTAATGTCCAGCTCTGCATCCCTGCACATCTGGGGATGTCCAGCTCTGCACCCTAGGACACATCTGGGAACGTCCAGCTCTGTGTCCCTGCACATCTGGGAATGTCCAGCTCTGCATCCCTGCACAGATGGGAACATCTGGCTCTGCATCCCTGCGCACAGCTGGGAATGTCCAGCTCTGCATCCCTGCACACAATGTCCAGTTCCATATCCCTGTGCATGGCCAGGAGCCCCGGCTCCTGGGCTGGAGCGGCCCCAGGCCGCGGAGCTCCCGCTCCCTGCACGGGGAGGCCCTGGAGGCCCCGTCGGGAGGTCGGGCTGGGGCTCCTGTCCCCAGCAGGGCAGCAGGTCCCTGCCCGGTCCCTGCCTGGCCGGGCTGCCCGGTTTGTTGTCCCGGTGTCATAGAAACCGCTGGAGGGAAGGAGGAGGCTGCGGCCGGACCCTCCCGATCCCAGGGGAGCTGGTAAGAGCCATTCCCAGCCCAGCCGGCACCGGCACCGGCTCCTGGGTGCGGGGGCTCCATCCCCGGGGCTCCGGGGCCAGAACCCACCGGGTTCCGGAGGCTGCAGCCCTGGGATCCATCCGGGGGTCTGGTCCAAGGGGCGCTGGGGCTGCAGAGCCGGGTGCTGGGGGCTGCGTTCCTGGGATGTGAGAGGCTTCGCCCGTGGGATCCCGATCACTTTGTCCCCAGGATGCTGGGTGCTGCCCCGGGGAGGATGAGGACCCCATTCCTGGGATATTGCCAGATGGATCCCCGGGATGCTGAGGGCCGCATTCCAGGAGATGCTGGGAGCTGCATCTCTGGGGTGCTGAGGGCTGCATCCCTGGGATGTGAGGGGTGTCACCCATGGGATCCAGGGCCTTTGTCCCCAGGTGCTGAGGGCTGCATCCCTGGGGTGTGAGGGGTGTCACCCATGGGATCCAGGGCCTTTGTCCCCAGGTGCTGAGGGCTGCATCCCTGGGGTGTGAGGGGTGTCACCCATGGGATCCAGGCCCTTTGTCCCCAGGGTGCCGAGGGCTGCATCCCTGCGGTGCCGGGGCTGCACCCCGGGGAGCAGCCACTCACCCCGGTTGGTGCTGGGGGGCATCCTCGGGGGCAGCTCCTTCCCCCCGGCCGCAGGGACCCGCTGCCGCGGCGCGGGGCGGGCCGCCGCCCACCCCCGCCTCGCC